TGATTGGCTTGGAGGGGTAGGTTTGGAGAAAAGGAAACTATTTTCTGTGGGGTAACTGATTTAGTTTGAAGTATCTGGAAAACCAGGAATTTGGCTTGCTTTCAACATGTTTAGCCATCTGATCCTAGTGTTGTTATTTTCAAAATGTCATATTGGATTAATGAGTGAAGCTCTTTGCAGGTGAGGGAGGACGCAAACCTAGGGCTACAATGGTCCGCAAAACTGCTGGATCGAGTCACCAGTGAAATCTTCCAAGCATGAAGAGAATGCGCATCATGGGTTCCAAGACTGGAAAATGGTTGATCTGTTGTTACTCTAAGGCTTTGGAGTAGGGCGCGCTAGGGAGAGTTTGATCTAGTTTCAAAGGTTGTTTTGCTTGCCTATCCCTCCTTACATGTATCTCGGGGTGAGGGGATGTGGCGTGTTGGGGCTTTGTTGCTTCCCCGGTCTTATCTTAAACTTTGGTGGTGTTTGCGTTTTGGATGTATGATACGATTGTTTGGTTCCATTAATGAAATCGGGGAAAAGACCGCTTTCAATCAAAAAAAGTAAAGGACATCATATTTTCCTAGGCTGTCTCCCTGTTCTGAGTGACCTGAGGAATTTCAAACATAAGAGACGGTCTGACCTAAAATGAATGACCACATTGAAAGCTTAAGAGTGTTTGGATAGTCCGGTCCAAACATATAGAAAAGGTTCAGCCGGTGGTGTTGGAGATGCCCTAATCGTGGATGTAGAACGACAGCTCCTTTTTTTTTACTTGCCGACGTGTCGTGCGGGTCGAGCAGAGCAAGGGTGTTCCTCATACCTCCTTGAAAATCTGTGGAGCCGGGCGTCATGTCGGGGCGTAGTAGGTTAATTCGGGAAAAATTGTGATGCGTGGTCGTGGATGTATTTTTATTATTTTTTTAATAAAAGAAGAGCTCGCCCCTTCTGATTTCCACTAAAGAAACCAGCATCAAGTTCGTCGTGGATGTATGTGTGATCCATCCAGTTATCACATCAGCCAGCGGCGGGTTGGAGACGGCACTGGTTGGTTATTTTTGTCCGCGACATCAGCGTCTTATGGCAGCGTGTTTCGTCTTCGGCGAGTCCATTCGCAACATGTGTGCTCCTGAATGTTTCCCAAGATAGGAATGTATGAATGAAAGTCTTACAGAGACAGCATCAACAGCTTCTCCTCTTTTTTGGGTCGAAATCCAACAGCGTGCGTAGCTAGCTTTTCTACTTACGTCGAGCGGGCAGAGTTCACGGATTGACGTGCAACCTCACAAAGCCACACTGCCACTTCCAAGCATTACTTTGCATTACCACCTGCTTACACCCTTCACAATGTGAAACGTCCCGTCCATTGTACACTAAACATGATTGGCAAACGATTATTTACTGCTCGGCTTCATCATCCATTGGCTAAAGGGAGCATCTAGTTAACAGATGCCTGAAAAAACATTAGATCTAATGTCTAAAAAAAGTCAGTCGATTTTCTAGATCAGCATCCAATGGTCATCGTAAGTGTGACACCGTTCTTCTTCCTCGGCTTTCTTCTTCCGCTTGTGCGCTCATGAGGGGACCCCGCCTATCCCTCCCTCCGGCCTCCAGGAATGGCAATGATCTCCCCGCCCTGACCTGCACCGGTCCCGCTGCCTTGCCTCCGCCTAAGCGATGCTGTAAGCGGGTGGCTCGGCCTTGCTTCTCCCCAAAATCGACTGAATCTAGAAAGAAAATCATGTACTCCTTTCGATCCATATTAATTATCTCTAAAACTAAGTCAGCGATAAAGGGACTACTTGATGACTAGAAAACACGCTGGGTTTTTTTTGAGAAAACACACTGGCTAAAACATGTGGCAAAAGTTAATGCTCCATCTTTTTTTTAGAAAAGGAGGATGCCTCCCGGCTGCTGCATCTGAGAGATGCATGCAGCCACTTTATTAATTATTTATAAAGACCTTATTACAAAATAATACATCAATATGCCTGAAGTCGCCATCTTAACAACATATGTCGCTACTTCTAAGCCTAACATCTAAAGCCAGAGACACTAACCAAGGCAAATACCAGGTCTGGGCTCGGCGGCCGCTAGGGTAGCGGCCTGCCGAGTCGCCCGGTACAGGAGCGACGCGGGCGAGAGCTGGGACGTGGGTGTATCAGTACTTCCAAGAATAAGGTGCATGAATTCTTCTAATGCTCCATCTTTAGTTTCAATTAATTAACGCCCTTCGACGGAGTAGTTAGGATGTTCGCATAGATAGAGACCCAACCGTATAGGCATATCTATCTATCTGCTTCGGTCATGCTGTGCTGACCTAAAAGCTTTGGTCGTCTCCGGTCATCCATGTGCTAAATTGGTGGTGCACTCAACACGCCAATGTCCACAGTTTCATGCTCCAGGATCCAACTGACCAGAAAAGGCAGAGACTTAATCCATTAGCATACTGTCAGTGTCTCTTGCTTCCACACTTGGGGTTGGCAGCTCGCGCTGATCCCACGCGTCACGCATCATTCAATAACCGATATATCTCAATAGTGCCTAACCAGTAACCACTGCTCTGAATCTCTGGAGAAGCACACATCGATAGCACAGGTTAACAGTGGCACCGGCGTTTGCTGTTTCTGGTACTTCAAATCAGTTCACGTTGGCGACATCAATTTATTCTCGCAGCACAACGACACCTCGATGGCCCGCGCCACAAGCAATTGTATAAGCACCCAGCGTCTGCATCAAGCCATGCACGCAATCATTTCAATAAGGCATAAGTATATTTTCCATCCCTTAATTTTTTCCAAAGTGTAAAAATGGCCGCTTCACTCCAAAACTAGCAAAACTCAGTCCCTCAACTTTTAAAACCGGATAAGTTTAGTCTCTCACGCGGTTTCCATCCGGTATGAATGCTACATCTATGAACAATAAATTCACAAAAATAGCCAAAAAAATCTGAAATTTTATGACATCGAAGATACTCAGGTGTGCAAGGTGCATGCAAATTTTCATCGTGCTTTGACGTTCGAGGAGCTCGCGGCAAAAGAAAAAACATACATACATCTGCTCTAGAATGAACTGTAAATTCAAAAAATAGCAAACAGAATAAATAAAATCTGAAATTTGTTGGAATCCAAGATGCTCGGGTGAGCAAGGTGTGTGCCAATGTTTGTGGTCAAATGATATGCGAGGAGCTCGTGGCAAAATAACCAAAATAGTGTATGTGTGTGTGCCGTTTGGGGTGGTATCCAAACACCATGAGCTCATCGACACATGTTTGTGGTCAAATGATATGCGAGGAGCTCGTGGCAAAATAACCAAAATAGTGTATGTGTGTGTGCCGTTTGGGGTGGTATCCAAACACCATGAGCTCATCGACACACCCATACGGTTGAACAGACCCGGTGCAGCAATTTTCCGATGGCTGCACTCAAAAGCCATTAACACACACTCATACACACATTGTCACGATGACCACATACGAATCAACGACATAGCTCTGAAGATAACCTGTAAAAAGTTAGGAATGTATGATCTGTTAAAAACGCACGCATTTCGATAATTCCAAATTGTCCAAAGAACGGCACAAACTCCCACATGACTTTGATCTTTCGGAGTATGATACATGCCACCAAACCAGTTTCCTAGAAGATTCGGTACACTTGTCGGTGGTGGTAAATTGTATATGTAACATGAGTTGTGCGTCCCGTTAAATCAAAGGCAATGAACAGCATGACAAAAATAAATGATGAATCGTTTCTCCTCGATTCAGAAACATCAAGTTTTTTTAACACCCCTTAAAATAAAATGTGACAAGGACGTACAGTGGATAGGCACGGAGTGGGAGAACTTAGGGAGTTGTAGGCTAAAATATTGGAGTTGAAAATTAGGTGCTCCGCAACTCCTCTAATTCCACGGATCCGGTGGATATCCGAAGAGGGCCTTAATCTGCCATGTCGTGTCGTGCCGTGTGGCTCATGTGGAGCGAGGTTGTTCCTCGTACCGTCCTGAAAATCAAGTCTGTGGAGCGGGGATTTGTGCCGGGGTCGGGGCGTGACGGTGTCCGTGCGGTCCATCGAGTTACCGTGTCAGCGGTGGTAGGCTTGAGACGGCGTCTGTTGATCATCTTCTTGGGCGACGGCAGCGTCACCTTTCGTTTTTGGCGGGTCTACTGGGGAGGGGACATGGTGCCGTCCCCTCTCGGCTCACGTCTTCCTCTGCTGCGTGTGTAGTTAGTATCAACAGCTTCTCTTCTTTTTGTGGGGGATAAATCCAGCAGCCCAAAGAGTTCACAAATTGACGTCCGACCTGCCACAGCCAGAGCCAGAGCCATTGGGTTTTCTTCCATTAGCAGCTGCTTACGCCATCGCAATTCGCAAGGTTAAACGTCGCGCCCTTGGCACACTCAGCCTGATGGGATAGGCATATCTATCTACTGGCAGCTGCTGTCTGCTTCGCTCATGCTGTGTTGTGTACGTTGACCCAGGAATGTTTTTGGTCATCCATGCCCAGAATTGGGTGTGCATTCATCACTCTCGCCGCGCTCCCTGATGTTCATGGACTACTACTAGACATTGGTCAGTTGCCTTCTCCAAGCTCCAACTGAACAGAAAAGGCAGAAACCCAGTTCATCACCATCATCGGTGTCTGTTGCTTCCACACTTGGATTGACAGTTTAGTTGGCACTGCTCTCCTCCTACGCGCCACGCATCATTCCATAACCCAGAACGAGCTGAGCTCTCAACACTTCGTAACAAACCCACCTCGACTGCTACTTAATCTCCAAAGAAGCACGCATCGACAGATTCAGTTCAATTCAACAGATAACAAACGGTGTCGACAATTCAACAGAGGAATGGCAAACCCACCCCTGTATGTAGAACACAAGGGGCCGATCGGCACAATATAATGCCAACAGAATCTTCAGTTTCGCTTCGTGATCTCGGGTACAAATGCTGTAAACACATAGGCACCGGTGTCTGCATTTTCTGATACTACAGGTTCAGTTCAGTCTGGCGACATCAAAGCCAGTACATTTTATTGTGGAGCACGACGACGCCACGATGCCCCGCAGCACAACCGGGTTTGGAGGCAACAAAAAAGCGGCCGAACAAAAATTGCATGAGTTCAAGTGTGAACCGTTCGATATAGGCTGAGAAGGTCGCCGCCTAGCTCTCCTGCGCGAACTTGACACCCTTCTCGATGGAAGACAGCAGCTCGCCCTTGAGGCTCTCCAGCCCCTCCTTCTCCAAGGCCGACAGCTCGCCCAGCCCCATCACTTCCTCCACTCCGCTCTTCCCCAGCCTCACCTGTGCAATGCCAACAGAAAGTAGTGTTCAGCACACCAAGTCTCGATCTTCTCACGGAAATTAACAGGTTGTGGAATAGCATTCAGCACAGGCATGTTTTCCAGGCTTCAAAAATGGGCTTAGATGATGTGAAACAAAGCACAATCTGTGAATTGTGGTATGCCAGTTCGATTATTATAACAAATGGGACATGTCTGACCCTCTACGACAATGATAACTCCATAAACATAATAATCAACCAAAAAATTACGAATCAACGAGAGTGTCTTGCCAGGCCTGTGACAGGCCACACGATTTAACAGAAACCTACACTTTGGATACCTGCTTACAAAGTCAAAAACATAGCAACACCTTCTAGGAATAAGCATGCAAGCAAATTTCATGCAGGCAAATGATTGTGTACTATATAGAAACAACAAAAAACCTTTCTTTCTTTCTTTTTTACATGGGGGCAACAGGAAATCACCTTGGAGGCAAAGAATGGCAGCTCTGTTACGGTTGATTGGACAAAAGAGCACTCTACGATGTCAGGAACACCGTTGAGCCCCTTCAAGCATGCATCTCCAAAAACAGCACCAGCATATCTGGAAAAACAGAAGATAAAATATTGTCAGCGAAAACCAAACAATGAAGTCCAGTCTAAGATCAGCAATGTGATACTATAAAACAAGAGATTGCTACGGAATTCATCTACATAGATCAAAATGGCCATGTCTCATTTCAGATGGTAATTTCCAGCTAAAATGAGCAGAAGAGTACAATATGTTGGACATAACTGAATTAAGTATGCATTTCACGTGAAAGCAAAAGCAGAAGATTAATAGTGGGATCAAAAAACTATTTAGTAAAGAATAATCTCTACAATAGTACATAGGTCAGTAATCCAAAAAAAATCAGAAATCCAGGGTGCAACATAATTTACGCTACCAAATGTTTAAGTATCACACTGAAAAAAAACATTAAACTGAAGGCCCAAACAAAATGAACACGCAAGAAAAAGAAGGCCACTTATACAATGAATGAACATGTAACTACTGATAAACAGAATGGAAAACACATTCGCATATGTACATACTCCCTCCGTTCCTAAATATTTGTATTTTTAGAGATTTCAAATGGACTACCACATACGGATGTATATAGACATATTTTAGAGTGTAGATTCACTCATTTTGCTCCGTATGTAATCACTTGTTGAAATCTCTATAAAGACAAATATTTAGGAACGCAGGGAGTATTTGGCAGTAAAGCACAGCTATGAAGATACAATCAAATGGATACAAGAACTACAATACAGTAGTTAGTCAGTGCAAGTAGGTTATGCATACTGAAGTTGGTCATATGCTGATTGCAGAGTATAAACACTAATATGCTACTTTGATATTCTATAAAAACCATGGACACACAGGGATAATAGCATGTTATTTTCAAGAGCATAAAACTAGCAGAAAGAGGACATGCTCAGGAAAGTCTGTGCGTGTTCATAGACTTACGCCATCGACAATGTTGCTGAGCCCTTTCCAGCCTTCGCTTCAACAACTTCCGTCCCACCATCTTGTGTCCTCTTCGTGAGGGCGAGAAGGTCCTCATGGGACAATGCATTACTTGCAGGAGTAGCCTATATCAAATATAAAGAATTGAGTTGTTAACTTGAGGCGTTGGCGTTAAAACATATGGAAGATATAGCATAAAATTAAAACAGCATTAGTTGCATAGTGTTTCAGTGATTGACAGATGAAAGATAAGCATCACTAGAGAGGCATACTGTTGATTCTTATCCAAAACATAGATTTTATTAGCTAAAACGACTTGCCAACAGCATTCAGAATAATTTTATACAACTATGCTATGAAGTTTTGTTATCAGTATGTGCTTACAATTTTGCTAGATTTGCACATATTGAATGAAATAAAACAAAACAAGTTAAGCCACTAAGATGCCAGACCTGTGAGAACAGTGGCAGGATAGTGATTCCAGCATGGCCACCAACAACAGGAACATTCACCCCTGCAAAAGATCACAGCAACAACTCAGATTGAAATGACAGAGGCATAAAATCTAACAACATAATCTCAAATTTCCCTATAATTAAGTGAAAGGTCATCTTAATACCAGTAACTGGCACGTTTGCCTTTCCAGCATAGAATGTTTTAGCACGAACAACATCAAGAGTGGTCACACCAAACAGCTTCTTCTCATCATAGGTACCAGCCTTCTTGAACACCTCAGCTGCAATTGGGACAGTCGAGTTGACAGGGTTGCTGATCATATTGACGAGAGCCTGAACAAGCATAATTGACAATTCCACAATCAGATTTTTACATAAATAATGTATAATTTAAAATATTACTTCATAAACGACAGTTGACATCTTGACATACAGTAGCGCACACATGAGCATGCTTAAACTACACAATGATGTCATGCCAGGCCTCCGGAGCCAATGGCTGGATAGTGTTAGTGTTAGAGCAGCTTTCTTTGCTTCTTTTGCTTTTTTCGTTTATCTAATTTCAGTTAGCAGTTTTACGTCGAGTAGCATAGAGTTTGTTTGCATTGCAGTCGTGCAAGTTCTGCAGTTTCTTGGATTTCTTCTAATACAAAAAGACATGCATTTTGATGTGAATGCGCATTTGAGTGGGAAAATAGAACTACCCATGGATGCCACACCTTGGCCATCGCAGTAATGCAAAACAATGTCTGAATCAAATTTGCCTCCTAGCAAACAGCCTACAGCATTTGGGCAGCAAAGCTGATAGAGTTTTACTACCTACAACAATCATATGCAGCAATGTGATTGCACGGCCCCAGAACATAAATCGTAAAACAAGGCCTGAAGCAAGCATGCTGTCTACAAACAGCCTAAAACACTGAGGCAGAAAAGAAACACCTGACTTGGTAGTGGCAGTTGGGTTCATTCTGGGCAAACAGAGTGGCAGTCATCCTATGATGCAACTACGTGACTGCTCTCCCCCAGATCATCGCTGAATGCAAAGCATACAACCGACTGGCAGTGGCAATTATGCTTGGCAACAGCAATTCAATTCTTTGGAGCAAATCATTGTTTTAGGTGTTTTACTACCTACAACAAGCATATGCAACAATGTGACTGCGCTGCCCGAGAACAAAAATGAAGAGGGGCAAGCTCAAACTGTAAAGCAAGGCCTGAACCAAGTGTGCCCCCTATATAGAAGCAGCCTACGGATTCCGGGCAGGAAAGTACTAACGCCTGATTTTGCTGTGGCAGTTGGGTTCATTTTGGGCAGACAACTCTTGTAGACTACTAGTACAGAGCAATCCTATGCAACAATTTGACTGCTCTGTCCCTACGCCCCAGATCAGAAATGAACGCAAAACATACTACAACCGCCGGCAAGTAGAAGCAATTCCAGGCAGCAAAACGTATGGTTACCGCATTTAGCAACCAAATCAAACTATGTCGCCTCCACCGAACTGCAGATCTATCTACAGTGGTAGCAGAGTGAGTGGTGAGGGCTTACGTTGGGGCAGTGCCTGGCGATGGCGGTGCAGAGGCCCTTGACGATCCCGGCGTTGATCTTGAAGAGGTCGTCCCTGGTCATGCCGGGCTTGCGGGGCACCCCGGCGGGGATGATGACGAGGTCGGCGCCCTCCAGCGCCTCCCCGAGCTGGTCGTCCCCGACGAAGCCCTTCACCTGCAGCGCCACCATCAGACGGACCATTCACGCACAGATCTAGCGAAGGGAGGGAGGGAGAGGGAGTAGGGACGCACCAGGGCGCGGGTGTTGATGTGGGATACGTCGGCGGCGACGCCGGGCGTGGCGGCGATGTCGTAGAGGGAGAGGGAGGAGACGAGCGGGTTGAGCTTCATGAGCAGCGCCAGCGGCTGGCCGATGCCGCCCGCCGCGCCGAGGATGGCCACCTTGCGCTCGGGCGAGGCGGAGGCGGAGGAGTAGTCGCGGCGGCGGCGCAGGTGCTGCGACGCGGATCTCAGCAGCGACATCCTCATCTCGTCCTTCTCTAAGCTCGAACGAACGAACGAACGAACGAACGGACTGAGCTCTGGTGTGTGTCGCAGCAGCTGTAGTGCGGTCGATGGAGAAGGGGGGCGGCGGCTTTAAAGAGGGGAGGAGAAGGCCAGAAGGGGGTGGGTGGATGGGATCCAAAGTCCAAAGTGTTGACGCCTCCGCCGATGCGATGAGATGCTTTTGTTTCATTTCACCCGTTCCGTGTGGGTGTGTGTGGTGGTGGGTTTTGGTTGCTTTGCTTCACCAACGCTGGCCGAGGTACCACCTGCGCACCACATACGCTTGTTCACATACCCTAAAGATTGTGTCCACTCTCCGTGTGCTTCCAAGTAATCTCATCTTTGGCATTGTCTTCAAGGTGGAAATCGTGAAGTAGAGTCCAAGGAGCAATAAATTCAGCATCGTGGACCATCGAGAAGTTAATGTTGATCTTGGAAAGCCAAGCACCGTTCCTTAGAGTTTCTCACATTGTCTAATTCCTTCTTGTCGAGACTTCAAAGGTTGGAGGTGTGATATCCTCGGGCTTCCTTATTACTTGCACGCACCATTTGCCAATGGTGATAGTAGTAGAAGCATAGAATAGATCGAGGTCCATTTCATCACAAGGGTTGCCCCTTTCGACCCACGTCTTGGTTGGATCCTTCCACTCATATCAAGGCACCACAATCATAGAGCCCTAGCAAACTTCTCAAGACTGGGCACGCCGAGGCCGCCGAGTTCATGGGAGCGGGGCACGGTGTCCCAATTGACTTTGCATTTGGTGTCAATAGTCTTATCTTACACCGACCAAAGAAAAGCTCTCATTAGCTTATTGGCTTCTGTGAAGTGTGTTTCCGAGGTGATAACCGACTTGACAAGGGCGTTGCGACTAACGGAGCAAAATCCGGCAGATCTCGGGTAGGGGGTCCCGAGCTGGTGATCTTGGCACGATGGTAACAAGACAGAAAGGAGACACGGTATTTACCTAGGTTCGGGCCCTCTCAAAAGAGGTAAAACTCTACGCCTGCTTGTATTGTACTGATTGTGGATGGGGTACAAAGTATAGATTGATCTACTTCCAGATCGTATGTGTGAATGAATCTATAGAATATCTAGAATATGTTCTACCGACTAGCCTAGCCTCGGTTTATATAATGTACCAGAGGCCTAGGATTTAGAAAAGTCCTCATGTTACGTGCAAGCCTTGTGGAATCTTCCTTGTATATGTCATGGGCTGCCCGAAGAGGCCTAGTAATTAACCGCCAAGGGGGTCCTTGGCCCGACCAGGATGGTCGGGAGATGGTAAGGTAAGCACCCTCTAGTCCAGGATACCACCAGCGGCCAATGTTAGTAATATTTTTAATTCACAAGGGACAAGACTTAGTGCAATTTTGTCCTCGAGCTATTGGAAGTCCACCTTCTTGAGTTGCCAAACCAAAAGCGTAAGGCCCAAGTATGTTATCAGTAAGGAAGCACGAGTAGCCGACAAACTTTGGAGGTTTGGTTCAAGGTTTAAAATGACCACATTCGATTGGGACCATGGGTCTCTTGTGGAAGTTGGTGGATAGATATCACACTCGATCGGGGCCCTGAACATCCCGCATCATCTACATGAAGAGAGGTTCTAACCATGGTGCCCCGACCATGATCTTGTGGAGAAGACCATGCCTTGTTGCCAAGTCAAGCACGTGCTGGAGGGGAATGATTGCGATGATGAAAAGGAGTGCGGGGGTCACCTTGTCGAAACCCGCGACCATGCTAGATTGGAGGTCCGATCACCCCGTTTAAAAGCATCCTCAAGGAGGATGTGCAAATTAGGGCGGTGATCCAATCCCTAAACTTGCTTGGGAACCCTTTTTTGGACTAGGGCAGTGATGTACTCCTACTTCATGTAGTCAAAGGCCTTGCGAATATTAAGCAAGCTTGAAGATAAGAGTGAAGGTCGTCCAGTGTGCAACGGGCGGACAAGATTCCTCACGTACATTAAATTCTTATGAATACCCTTCTCTTGATAAACACACTTCAGGCATTAGAAACAAGAGAGTTCATGTGCATACTAAGCCGGATGGCTAGTATCTTAGCAATGATTTTTGCAAGGGCATAAATGAGGCTAATAGGCACATAGTCGATGATCTCTTCCACACCCTCTTTCTAGGGTAAAAGCACAATGTTTACAGAGTTTAACCATTGGAGATTTGCACCATGGAGGTTACCAAAATTATGGTTGGCTCTCATGAACAATGTCCCAAACACTTCCAAAAAAATGCCCGATGAACCCATCCACCGCGGGTGCCTTGTCATTTGGCATTTGGTTGATGGCCTCTCACACCTCCTCCTTGGTGAAAGGGGCCTCAAGGTCATGCAAGTCCCGTGTGTCAAGGTTGAGCTCCTCCCTGTTGAAATCTTTTGGTCTAGAGCCCTCTTTTCCCATGGCATCGGAGAAGTATCTTCTTGTTCATGCTCGATGACCCAATCAAGATTGTGCTTACCCTATGGATGTGATTTTTATTCTTGTCCTCGCGTTGATCCGGTTGTAGAACTTGGTGTAAGCATCACCCTCTTTTAAGTTGGTCATTCTTGTGTGTTGCTTCTTGTTCTCTCAAGCACCACCATGCTAATTACACATCTCTTAGCTTTGCACTAGTGTCATGCTTGTCGACGGAACGTGCTTCAATTGGGCTGCATAGAGGTGTATCTTCGCTTACCCTCTATTCCACTCGAAGAGGTTGTCTTAACTCTGTAGGGCTATGTGATGGGAATGCTCATTCCGGCCAAGATGCACAATTTCATTGAATCCTAGAATATGGGAACTCCCTCTGTTTTGCTTGGAGGTGTCCTTGGCCCCTAGCATCAGTATAAGCAAAAGAGGGCAACGGCCGGATAGCAAGACGAGTGGGTGAAGGTTGAAGCACATGGGTGTTGAATTGGCTGCATGAAGCAAAATTTTAGATGTCAGCCGTAAGAGCAACTCAAGCTTCAGCAGAACTACTAGCCAAATGGCAGGGGCCTTGGTAAGGTACTTCCTTCTTTTGGGCTTCAATTTACCCAGTCAATAAATTGAATTGTCTTAATGATTTAAATATTAACAAGTTCAACATCATCGGAAATGCTGATTAGACCGAGCTCTTCAACAGAGGGCTGTGCTACCGCAAATTGTGTTTATCTGAGATAAACAAAATCACCAGCTCTAAAAAAAAAGTGTAGCGAGTGCCTACCTGGCCATTGACATAGTCCGGCAGCGAACCTATAATAACAAAACCAAGCGCATAGCAAGCACACAGATGCTCAAGATAAATATATGATCCACACATTGAGCCAACAGGCATAATAATACTGATGAACCATCAAGGTGGCGAACAACAAATCCATGGCAAGCAACATGATGTAGATCAATGTCACACAAACAGTTTGCAGCCCACCAGACAAGGCAAGGCAGACAGGAAAAACATCCGGCTTGACTACTCCATATCAAGCCTTCAACCTAAAACCGACTCGCATAGTCTCTGGCTCTCAAAGTATTGATTGATAAGACAGACTCATGATCCTCTCTCTACTCGATCAGATCGTCATCGTCATCAGGCAGTGGCTGTGCCGCTGCAGCCGCAAGCTCAGCCTCGTGCCTACAGAAGTCGCAAAAAAGCAAATGAGCAATCCACTACTTCATTCATTTGAACATACAAACTGAACATGAACAATCCCAGTGAACAAGTCACTTACTGTTGCTGCATGGCCAAGTCGAAGGTCACTTCCGGAGGCTTAAGGGCCACTGCTTCGACGAAGTGGATGTTGGGATCACTGACATCAGCAAAAAAGCCTTAGTACAAGAACAATGATGCAATATTACAGGCAAAGGAAAGCAATGGGGATGAAAGAAAATTACCCAGCCAGCTTCCTAGCAAGGTAAAGGAAGGGCTTCTCAAAGTTGTAGTTGCTCTTGGCAGAGATTTCATAGTACTGGAGGTTCTTCTTCCTGTGGAATGTCACCTGCTTGGCCTTAACCTGCCTGTTCTTCACATCAACCTTGTTGCCACACAGCACAATGGGGATGTTCTCACAAACCCTGCAACAGGTTAATATACAGACATCAGAACTCTAATGATAGCACAATATCACATTCGGTGAAGTAGAGATGATTGCTTCAGAAGCAAACCTGCACAAGTCCCTGTGCCACGTAGGAACATTCTTGTAGGTCAGCCTTGAAGTGACATCAAACATGATAATCGCACACTGACCATGGATACTGCACAAATAATTAAGAAAGAAATATCAGTCAAACAAATAGAAACAATAAGGTAAGCATTATACTGATAAATCGAAGGAAATAAATACACCCTAACAAATACATCTACTATTTAGACAGCTACACAACAGTCATGTGCAGAAAAAAATAGCTAAAATCCACCACAAAACACTTACTAGTATCCATCCCTAAGGCCACCAAACTTCTCTTGCCCAGCAGTGTCCCAGCAGTAGAAACGGATCTTTCCACAGTTAGTGGTGAAATCCAACGGGTGAACTTCAACACCAATGGTGGCTGCAAAAGGGAAAAAATGATGAATTTCTTAGACATGATGCATGCCAAGCGGCATAGGTGCAGAAGAGAATACACATACGTTCGTATTTCTTCTCAAACTCTCCAGTGAGATGCCTCTTCACAAATGTGGTTTTGCCTGCAAACAGATAACAGCATCAGAACCTCTGCTGTCAATGGTTGGAGAAGGATAACCAGGCAAAGCAGGATGCTAATGAAGAAAGGGCTGAGCAGTAAAAAAAAATACTGACAATTGCAATTGAGCAATGCTATGGTAGGTTCATGTTTTGATTAGCATACATGATGCATGAGATACCAATCTAGCAGATGGCACTAAAGTGATTCAGAACTGAGACAAAACTATCTAGATATCAAGGGAATTTTCATTTGTAAGCACAACTATTACTTCAAATTAGGTCTTCCATTGCACCTAATCACAATTCTAATAGGCAGACCTTTTACACTGGTGCATGAAAAATGGAACATTTCATAAACAGTAATGTTACTCCATCTTTGCCTTTCAGTAATGTCCGATCTAATAATAATTCAAAGAACACACACTCCCCTGTTCAAATAATCCTTTTAATACATAGAATCTGCTGGTAATTTTTCACTCTATATTCAGTTGCTATAAACTATTGGAGCAACTGCGTATAAGAAGAGGTTCAATCTGACAGACATAGTCTATTGGTAAAATATATGATGCAAAAGCATCGAGACCTCCATGATCTAAATCCCTTTCGCAATTACTAACTCTGTTTTCCCTGCTTTCCAAAACGGAAAGCATCGAAAACTGATTCCCTACGGCAGGACCAACCACGAAACCCTTTCGTGGCACGGATTAGGGTCGCCCCCGCAATCCCCAACACCTAATAGGGCGTCAGATTCCATCCGGAGGCCAGGCAAACTGGTAACTGAGCCAGATCTCGCCGCAACGACGGCAACAAGCAGGCGCATCGGACAGATCACGGCCTAATCTACCACAACCACAACGAACGAGAGTAAGGGGAGAAGGAGGCTCACCAGTCCCGCCATCGCCGACGATGACGAGCTTGAAGCTGGGGTAATCGACGGTGTTCTGGTTCGGCAGCGCCTGCGACAAAGCCAAATCGAAACAGATCAGGCCCGGATCCAACGCCAGACGCAGCGGAATCAATCGGAAACCGTGAGCGCCGGACTCACCATGGTGGACGCGGGCGGCGACGGCGGCGGTGGGGGAGGGAGGCAGCAAAACCCTAGGTGGAGGAGGAGTATTTCGAATCGGAGTTGGGGGAGGCGGAGGATGGGGGGTTTTATATAGGGTTTTTTTGGGGGGGAATGGAATTTTATTTTTTGTGTGCGGGGCGCGTGTGGGGGGTTTGGTTAGCTTTGGATGGACGCAGGAATGGTGGCCGCAGGATCGGCGGTGGGCGGCGGATCGCAGCGGGGGCGGGGGGCGATTAGCTTTCGTCCCACGCGAGGTTCCCGGCCGTCCGATCCGGGTGCTGCCGTTGGGTCGGGGAGCGGGGCGGCGCGTCCTGGGCTGCCTTCTTTTCTGTGCTCCACAATTCCAGAAAGAACGGTCGGTCCACGTATCGTGAACCGGGCGGCTGAATTCGTCCCCCCACTTTCACACCCACTTGGGCCTGAGGGAGTGGTACTGGTGAGGTTTTCTTTTCTTTTCAATACTGATGGGCGTCGACCCGTTGGTTGGGCAGTTGAGATTGCTATCAGCCCATTCAAGTTCGAGTCTCGACTCGAACACGTGGTGTTTGTGAAGTTTCTTCTATATAAAAAAATGCCAACGAGAATTACCCCTTGAGTTGGTCTCATTTTTTTAAAGTTTGTGTCTCAACTCAACAACCAACTAATTCTAAAAAAAATACTCAACAACCAATCGTTTTTGCAACGATGCCTAACAAATGTCTGCACGTACCCGGCGTAGTAGGTGTTTCATAGGCGACTAGGGTTTCTTTTAACACAATACAGACGCAAACGCTCGTACTTCGCACATACACTCACCCATATGAATGTACACACGCACGTCCTACCCCTATGACCACCTTTGAAAGACTAAGCTGGCATATCATCTTAAGATTTAAGAAGTTATCGTAAGCGCCTCGTCGTCAACGAGGATGTCTCCTCCTACTGAAAGCGCATCGGCAAAATTAAATTCAGGAACCCCCAAAAGTTAACCTAGATGAGTTTTATGTGTGTTCCAGAAAGAACGGTCGGTCCACGTACCATGAAAGGGGACGCCGGTTTCAGTCGCCCGTTCACACTTGCGTTTGAGGGTACTACTACTTGGGCCATTTCCAGGGGAACACTGAAGAGCTATTTCGATCCGGACGTGCAAAGCCCTACTACCTATAGCCCGTTTAAATGTCTTTTTCATGTTCGTCCGGACGTGGACCACGGACATGATGCAGGAGGGAGTCATCCGGTCTATAACCACAATTACTCAAAGAAAAAAAATCTTTAATCAAAAAACATCCTTATTCGTCCGGTTGAGATGTGAGAGAGGAGAGGCCAGAGGAGGGGAGGCATGCATGTGGTTGGTATGTGTGTGTGGTGCGCGATTGGGGGAAGAGAGAGAGAGAGAGAGAGAGAGAAGAGAGGAGGATCATGTGATTACTTTTTGATGGTCAAGTGGATGTCCGAACTCCCGCATTGCTCCCCACGAGTTGCTTCGATTTGTGGGAAAAACAGACTGCGGACTGCTCCACGGATCGATAAGGGTCCTGATACGTCTCCAATGTATCTAAATTTTTTGATTGTTTCATGCTATTATATTATCAATCTTGAATGCTTTATATGCATTTTTATGCTATTCTATATCAATTGGGACTAGCCTATTAACCCAGTGCCCAGTGCCATTTTTTGTTTTTTTGCATGTTTTTGGTTTTTCAGAAATTCAATATCAAACTAAGTCCAAACACGATGAAACTTTACTGTGATCTTTTCTGGACCCGAAGGGGCCCTAGAAGCTTCGAAAGGAGGCCAGAGGAGGGGGGCATGCATGTGGTTGGTATGTGTGTGTGTGTGTGTGTGTGGTGCGCGATTGGGAGAAGAGAGAGGGAGGGAGAAAAGAGAGGAGGATCATGTGATTGCTTTTTGATGGTCAAGTGGATGTCCGAACTCCCGCATTGCTCCCCACAAGTTGCTTCGATTTGCGGGAAAAACAGACTCCGGACTGCTCCGCGGACCGACAGGGGTCCTGATATGTCTCCAACATATCTATTTTTTATTGTTTCATGTTATTATATTATCAATCTTGAATGCTTTACATGCATTTTTATGCTATTCTATATCAATTTTTGGGACTAGCCTATTAACCAAGTGCCTAGTGCCAGTTCCTGTTTTTTTGCATGTTTTTGGTTTTCCAGAAAATCAATATCAAACTAAGTCCAAACACGATAAAACTTTATTGTGCTTTTTTCTGGACCAGAAGGAACCCTAGAAGCTTCGGGAGGAGGCCAGAAGAGCCATGAGAGAGCCACAAGCTCACCAGGCGCGCCCCTAAGCTCGTGGGCCCCATGCAACTTCGTTTGACCTAATTCAACTTCTATAAATTCACAAATATTTCCAAACCAACAGAGAACCACCCAAAACACTTTTTTTGTAGCAGCAAGTCTTCGTTCTTCTGTGATCTCATCTGGAGGCCTTTCCAGTACTCTGTCAAAGGGGGGGATCAATCACGGAGGGCTTCTACATCAACGTTACTGCCTTCCGATGATGTGTGAGTAGCTAGTAGCTAGATGGCTTCTTCTCTCTCTTTGATCTTCAATACAATGTTCTCACCGATCTTCTTGGAGTTCTATCCAATGTAATCTTCTTTTGCGGTGTGTTTGTTGGGATCCAATGATTTGTGAGTTTATGATTTCGCTGAAAGTAATTGAGTCTTTTCTGAACTTTATTATGCATGATTGTTATAGCTTTCGATATATCCGTTTGGTTTGGCCAACTAGATTGATTTATCTTCAGTGGGAGAGGCACTTTGTAATGGGTTCAATATTGTGATGCTCTACATCCAGTGACAGAAGGGGACAAGACACGTATTAGTGTTGTTCCCGTTAAGGGTAAAATGATGTGGTTTATTCATATTCATTGGGTTTACTTTGTCTACATCATGTCATCTTGCTTAAGTCGTTACTCTGTTTGTCATGGACTTAGTACCATAGATGCATGCTGGATAGCGGTTGATTGGTGGAGTAATAGTAGTAGATGTAGACAGGAGTAGGTCACGGACGTGATGCCTATATACATGATCATTGCCATGAATAACATCATAACTATACATTTTTCTATCATTGCCCAACAATACGTAATTTATTTACCCACCGTATGCTATGTGTTCGAGAGAGAGAAACCTCTCGTGAGAACTATGGCCCCTGGGTCTACATCATTTCATCTTGCTTAAGACATTACTCTGTTTTTCATGAACTTAATACCATAGATGCATGCTGGATAGCGGTCGATTGGTGGAGTAATAGTAGTAGACAGGAGTCGGTCTACTTGTCACGGACGTGATGCCTATATACATGATCATTGCCATGAATAACATCATAATTATGCGTTTTTATATCAATTGCCCAACAGTAATTTATTCACCCACTGCATTTTATTTCCTTTTATTTATTTTGAAATTTATTTATATTCCTATACAAGATTTAATCCTTGCAAATAACGAGGTCAAGGGGATTGACAATCATCTTGCTCGCGTTGGGTGCAAGTATTTTCTTTTGTGTATGTAGGTGTTGTTCACGAGGCTTGGCGTGATTCTCCTATTGGTTCTCACCGAGGGAAATACTTATCTCTACTGTAGTGCTCCGCCCTTCCTCTCCGGGAAAAATCCCAACGCAGCTCACAAGTAGCAGAAAGAATTTCTAGTGATGTTGTCGGGGAGACATCATCCAAACCTATCAAGTACCTTCACTCAAATTATCATCCACTTGCTCCACTTTTTATTTGCCTTTTTATTTACCTCATGTCGGTGTCAAAATCGGGAGACCTTGGGTAGGGGGGCTTGAGTTGTGAGATCAGATCGATGGGTAACAGGAGATAGAGGACATGGTGTTTACCCAGGTCAGGGCCCTCTTGAGGAGGTAAAACCCTACGTCATGCTCTTGCTTATATTGTGGATGTATCAAAGTACAAAGTTGATCTACCTCGAGATCGTACATTGTGGAATAAACCCTAAGGCTAATGGAGATGATAATCGATGTCCCTTTACGGGCTCAACCCTTTGGTTTAAATAGGCACCAGAGGGTATCTAGGGTTACACATGGTCGGTTGCCATCCAGGGATTACATGTCAAACTAGTAGATATCCTTGGAGTACACGAAAAGTACTTGGTGAAGCCCAATATGCTTATGCCATAGGTTAGAGGCCTCCGAAGTCCATCATTAGCGGGCTATCAGTCCAGCATAGGGACTAGACCGGCTATGCAGGGACCCCCTTGTCCAGGACACCATCAGTAGCCCCAAACTTGTCTTCAAAGTCGAGGGTGGCAACCTTCTTCGGATAAACGTCTCCGGCTTGAGAATCTTCAGCTTAGCAGGTGATGACCCACAAGTATAGAGGATCAATTGTAGCTCTTTTAGATAAGTAAGAGTGTCGAACCCAACGAGGAGCAGAAGGAAATGACAAGTGGTTTTCAGCAAGGTAATGTCTGCAAGTGCTGAAATTGTAAGTAGCAGAGTAGTTTGATAGCAAGATAATTTGTAACGAGCAAGTAACGATAATAGTAGCAAAAGTGCAGCAAGGTATCCCAATCCTTTTGAGGCAAAGGACAGGCCAAAACGGTCTCTTATAATAAGCAAAGCGTTCTTGAGGGTACACGGGAATTTCATCTAGTCACTTTCATCATGTTGGTTCGATTTGTGTTCACTACTTTGATAATTTGATATGTGGGTGGACCATTTTTTAGGTGTTGTTATTACTTGAACAAACCTCCTACTTATGATTAACCCTCCCGCAAGCATCCGCAACTACGAGAAAAGTATTAAGAATAAATTCTAACCATAGCATTAAACTTTTGGATCCAATCGGTCCCTTACGGAATAGCACATATACTGGGGTTTAAGCTTCTGTCACTCTCGCAACCCATCATCTAATTGCTACTCCACAATGCATTCCCTTAGGCCCAAATTTGGTGAAGCACTACCGCAGGATGCTGCTAACGTGACACTACGATCAGAGACTGA